GGCTTATGTCTGCGAGTACTGGTCCCATAGGTACCAAGTCGCACGTACAGGGCGTCCTCCCAACAGGTGCGTCGTTGGAAGAGGCACTGATGGCTAAGCCCGGTGTGTGCCCGATTACGAGCACCTACAACCTCACATACGAGGGTGAAGAGGTTGTGATTGATGCACAGGGCGGGATAGCAGGCAGAATCGCCTGTCCTGCCGGAAATGACATCTTCCATTTTTTCCCCGAAATTAGGGATGTGTCGGCGTTTGTTGGACGAAGCTCCAGGGAATCGCAAATGCTGCTAGAAGTTTTGTCGGGCAACACTGACCCTACGCGGTTAAACGTGAAGCCCGGTGAGCAGCCTCCCTTCTTGTTTGGGACGGTTCCAGACATTCTGGGAGGTTGGATGTCAATGACTCTGATCTCAACGCTACTTGAGGCCCTATACGGGATCCACAAGTGCACGAGTGTCGAGGTAGCGACCTGGGCGGGTGCTCTCGCAAAGGAAAGCCCATCGTACCCTCCAGTCGAGCTCCTAATACGGACAGTCTGGAGGACAGATGGCACGAGTGTGCGCCCGAATGAGGTGCTTTTTGCGCGGTCCACCCTAATCGGGAGGGACGTGCCGTTCAAAGTTTTCAAGCGTTGGGCACTGCGTGACCGAACGCCTATGGGGCCTTTGCTTAGGCCGATGGGAGCAGCAGAAGTCCCTTATACGGGATACGTGCTGCTGACGATGGCCGAGTATCGGTCCGCCCTCAAAGCGAGGTGCATCCGGAGGCCTGGCAAATTCGCCATCACAGTTTTCCCCATGCGACCTGAGCAGGTCTGCAGGGGGGAGATCATGATTGGGATGGAGGGCGCAAAGGTGCCTTTCCTCAAGTTGCCCAGCCCCAATAATGAGGGCGAATTTTATGTTGACGACCGCATCAAGTACATGGACAAGCGCCATGTCGTTGTGGCCGTTGACCTAAAGTGGATGGCCATCGAGGAAGCCGCCGGCATCTACAAAACCCGACGCGGTTTGATCGCCGTGCGGGAGGAGATACATGCGCCCTTTTGGCGCGCATGCTATCTGCACCAGGAAGGGGATGTAATATACATCCGTCCCTGGGCGGTCCGTGAGTTGAATGTTCAGGGACCGCGGAGAGGGGTGTCATTTTCATGGGACAATGCTCCCATGCATGACTACTGGTGCCCTCGGTGCGCGCATTTGAACATGTATGGCACCATTCTATGCAATGGTTGCCATCTGCCGATTTTCTATCGTGAATGGGTGCCAGGCACCGTCCGCGCTCTGGTTAAGCATGGACAGCCAATCTGGCTGAGCGAACTCAAAGCAGTTCGCCCCAGCAGCTGGCATGAAGGGGAGACCGACGCGTGGGCCCCTCTCATGGCATCGGTAAACCCGATTCGCGAGGTGGTCAGCTGCATGATCACCGGTTTGCGCTGCGCGCCGCATCTTGTGCACATTCCCAATGCGGATATTGTGCAAGTTGCGTTTCAGGAGGTTGCAAAGGTCACCTCAAAGGACACTCACGCTTGTGTGCGGGCGAGTGATGAGGCTCTCGAGCGGTGGGTAGCGAAGCAGCTGCTCATCGAGGAGAGCAACACTGGCGTCTCGATTCCCGACAATATGTCTGTCATGGCATATTTAATCGAGCCACCCGCAACAGGCGGCGCAATGGGGTCGTCATATGACGAGAAAGGGCAGTCTAAATTCAGCATTTGCCCTTTACCTCTCTGTGCATATCTTTGATGCCTACCGCATCGGGATTGAGGACGGGTATTTGGTTCCGCTGTATGGCCTAGGCGCCTCACGCGCGGATATCATAATGTCGTTGGTACAGGCTGAGCGACGCCTCACGGACTTCAATACTGAAGATCCGAGTTTCGACGCTTCCACCGTTCTTGATTGGAATATCGACTCTTTGCGGGCAAGTGGTGGATCCATCACGGCCCCAATTGAGTATGCTGAGGCATACATTTATGTCGAAGACAATAAGGTTGACATGGTCCCCGCTTCGCGGCGCGACGGCCAATGCGCCATTGTCTTTGCTGACCCGCCGGTTGGGAAGCACCACAGGCGGGCAGCCACTCCTAGGGGAGACCAACGGTCTGCCACCCCGCGACCTGAATCCAGGTCAAAGGGTGATCAGCAAAAGGGCAAAGCCCCTGCACAATCCTGGCCCAAGGGCGGAGGTCACAAGGGTGACCAGTTCCCAGGAAAGGGTCACAAAGGTGATCAGTACAAAGGCAAGGGTGGCCAATACGGCTACCAACAAGGGCAGTTCGGTCGTGGCGGATCCGCCAGATCGAGAACTCCCACTGGCGGGTATCAGCCTGATGCTCGCGGGTCGGGATACAAGGGTGCTCAGGCAGCCCCTTTCCCGTTCCCAAGTCCGATGTACCCCGCTTTCCCAATGGGAGGGTACATGCAACAGCCAATGGCTGGCATGATGCCGCAAATGTGGCCTGGCGCAATGCCGCAGAGTTGGCAGCCGCACATGCAGGGTGATCCACGCGAGTTCGAGAATCCGAACTCGCCGCATACCCCTACCTGGGGTGCGGATGATGAGTTGGCCGAGACCGTGCCTCCTCCTCCTGGGGACTGGAACGTCAACAAGGGGAGGGGACGGCACGGCGGCGGGCGACATCGGTAATACCTGGTGTCCGTCTGCATCTTTCGCGTAGCGGCGCCAACGCGCGCGTGCTTTCATTCCGGAATTCACATAATGGACAACGCTCCCTGTAGTATTTCTATGTTTGGGCTATTCGCCATTCCAGAATTCAACTGCATGCGCAGCTGTGCGCTATTCGCGCTGGCGGCGATTACCTGTCAGGTGTGCGTCGCCGCAGCAAGGCAGTTACCCTCGCCGGTGTCTACGGCCGCTGGTTGTCAGCATCGTCCAGCACCGCTGCTGCTGCTGGAGATGGAACTCATCAAGGTGCTGCGGTGAGGATCACGGATGCGCTGCACCGCTGCCGGTGAATTCCTACTCGGATCTGGACCGCTGATTGCAGCTGGTGGTGTTCCTACTGAAGGTCTTTGTGTGATCGCGCGCCTAGACGGTGCTACTTTAAAGACCAAGGTCTTGTGGTCAAAGCACCATGTTTCAACCAGCAGGCCAATGCGCCTAAATCATGAATTCAGAAACTAAATCCACTTGAACCTTGCGGTTCGTTGTGGTTGCATTGCAAATGTAATTTTATTTCATGCCTGCCATTCTGGAGTTGAATCTCTGTTTCTGTTTCTTTTTGCTTTCTCTTGTTTGATTTGGCTACCGGCGCGAATCCGCCCCATACCCGTAATTCGGGGTGGTGGCGGGATCCGGGCACCAATGAGTGCCCGGGTATGGGGTCGCGAACCCTGGTAGCCTAATCGGCTTTGTTTTTCTTGTTTATTGCCTTCTCAACTTCAACATGGCCAATGCGCCCTTCCAAATTCACTCCATCTCTTTGTACAGGCGAGGGGGGTGTTTTTGGGGGCATGTAGTTTTATCATAACATGTTTCCACGCCACGGCCAATGCGCCGTTTGGCTCAAGCTTTTGATTCCGGCAGAACAATCTGCTAGCACGTCACCCGCGCCATTCTGGCGCCGCTATTGGTCTCGCAGCAAAAGGCGCTGCGGGCCCGACCAGCGGCGAGGTGGCCAGGGTGGTGTTAGGTCGGGTTCGTTTCTGGGAATTTGCTGTGTTGCTGCTGCTCCGCTTTCGCCTGGTTAATTGCTTTGCTCGCTTGCTTGCTGCGCTTGCCTGGTTGGCTGCGCTGGTCCCCTTTCCTGTTTGGGTTTTGCGGTTAAACAGGATTCCCCGTTTGTTATCTGTGTGGTTCATTGCCAGCCGAGGGCACCACTTTGCCCTTGGGACTGGGGGGCTTAAACTGTCTCTTCTTGTTGGTGGGTTAGGGCCTGTTTATTCTCTCCCGAAATACTGTTTCAAACCCTTTCGCAGTTAGATTCGGACCCACCTCCTCTCCCCCAAAAGGGTAAGCAATATAATGAAATAAGTGAAATACATGAAATAAATTTAATAAGCAAATGAATAAATAGATAAACATATGAATTAATTAATTCAATGAATAAATAAATGAAACAAAGATAACAGCCAATAAATCAATGATTAAATAAATGAATACATGAAATCATATATTATGCGTTGCGTTTCTTTGGTTTCTTTTTAAAGCAACCCCAAAGAGCACCTTTTCACGAAATCCCCATCAAATCAAACTGGCTGATCAAGGGTCGGAAGGAACAGTGCCCTTGCCGCTGACGGCTGGGCATTGATTGCCCGTTTGTTTTTTTGTATGGTCTTGGGTAGAACCTTTAAGCCATATCATCTAGAACCACCAACAAGAGGGTCCATTTCATGGTGCATAGTTTTTGCATGGTCTTGATTGAGAGCCATATCTAAACAAAATGGCTCGTTGGGACACAACACCTTCCTGCCCCAACACGTCGTATGGTTTCTCAGCCCCAGCCGCCCTGCGGCTTCGGGGAGATAGGGGATGGTGACCTCGAGTTTTTGGGGTTCCGTGTGATCCAAAGATCAGTTCTCCCTTAGATGTGAGGCTTAGGTGGGATATGGATATGGCCAAAATCAGACACACGCACACGCGTACATATGTATATATATATATAGATACAGGCATATATATATACACTTACATATACATACATACACATACATACACATGTGTAAATACATAACATTGTACCATGCATCGCTAATATAGATATATATATATATGTATATATATACATATATATATATATATTATACATATATATATACATGAGCACATATATACAAATATATATGAATATAATGTAAGTGTTTGCATATACGCATAATACGTTATGCTTATACACACATACGTATATACGTATACATGTATACATGTATACATATATACATGTATGAGCCCTCCGTGGTTTAGCCCCGCTGCTTGGCCCATGGAATCGCCTCGCCTTGCTGGGATTCGCGGGGCATCCGACGCATTCCGCGTGTCAGGGGATGCCACGAAGTATGGGGACTACTGCATGCAGGAGGAGGCCGGAGGCTTTCACCTTCGCCTATGGGTCAGGCTGAAACTAAATAAGAGGAATTGGAGTTGTGCCATCTACCTTGACTGACAGGCATTGTGACTGTGCGACGTCTTTGGGAAGGCCGCTTCTTGCCCTTCCAAGTGATTGTAGAAACCCTCTAGGGTCGGAAAACATATCAAGAGGCAAGGCCTTGCCAAGTGGTTCATCGTTTTGCAACTTTGGTCCTGTAACGACTTTGGTGGGCAAAGAACGGAATTAGGGTGGTGACGGGGCAAGAAAGGGGGTTCTTTTGTGGTGGCTTGGGGCCTCTTTAGAGCCGGCTGTGCTTTTGGTTCATTATTGGACAACGAATTCAAGGAATTGGCGTGGACCGTAGTACTGGTTTCCAGCTGAAGAGCATGAAGCCCATTGAGGGGCTGCGACCGTTACCCGCTGAGGGTTATAGGTTCGACACCAAGCCGATGGTTGCAAGTGAATTGTAACTCTAAAAGTGGGAGATATGAGTATGGATGGAAAGTTTCGTTTTTGGTTCGGATTTTTTGAAGGCGGTTGAAACCCAACTACTCAAAAGGCATGTTTTTCACACCCTGAGATTCTTTGCGCCTGTTGCCGGCTTGTTATTGCAAATCTAAGCAGAAACCTTTGTGAGTCTGATTGTAGGTTGGTGGGTTGTTCTAATCTGGGCGCTCAATAGCCCATGCAGAGAAACCCCCCAAAAGGACACCCAAAGCCGATGGGCTCGTCTTGTCCACCCAGTTCCGATGCGCTCCTTTCGAGAGGGCGGCAGCGAAGATTGCCTCTACCTGAACGTCTTCATGCCGGAGGAGGCTCAGAATCTCACCGGCCTGCCGTGCGGCTCGGAAGTCGACGTGGGCGCGAGAGGAAGTTACGAAGTTGGGCTGCTCGGGGGGTCGATGGGAGCCAAGGATTCGGTAAGGCCTTGGTTTGCTTGTAGGAGGGGGGCAGGATTTGGTGGACATCTCATGTGGCCCCCATTTGGTGATCCATGTTCATGGCGTCGTGTTTTTTTGGGGGGAGGGAGGGGGAACGGAGCGCTTGAATTTCCATGGCTAGGCTTCGAGAACCAACTCAGGGCGACACATGAGGTTGATCAAATAAGTAATCTGATTTTTCGCGATCAGTGTGGGATGGGGACTCACCAAACTTCCAGAAAACGAGGCCTAGGACGACTGCGGGTTTTGTAACCTGTCGCTCAGTGGTTCGTGGCGGCTCAGTGCCCACAAGACTTGCGGAAGCTCGTAGGGAGCTCCGCTTCTTTATTGGAAGGAAACCCAGTAAATGAGGAAACTTCCGGTCGTTGATCTCACCCCTCCCCCCTCGGAGTTGTTTGCGTGTGATCGAGGCATGGTGTGGATTCACGGGGGCGCCTACGAGTCCGGGAAGAGCGACTTGTACGACCCAAGCAGCCCAGCTGAAAAGAAGCGGGCGCTTTGCAACGTGAGTCACAATCAACACCCGGGTAGATGAAGGTTAGTAAGGGACGATCCCAACCGGAAATGGCTGCGGCCGCCTTCTAAATTCTTTACATGGTTCTGGGTAGACAATTTTAGTACCGGTTTTGATTGTGAATCACGTGTGGCTTTTCGCCGGGGCGAAAAAAGTGAAATAAACCACCGGGCGGCGGTTTTCCCCACGCCTGACGCGAGGCAACATCACAGAGCTTCTGCGGTCCAAGGGGTTGCCAGCCATTCTGGTGACCATCAACTATCGCCTCAACGTCTTCGGCGCCTCAGAAATCGCTTTCGACCGCAGAAAAGTAGCCGCTTTCGACAGGACACCCAATAAGTTGACAAGGGCACCCAGGAACAGTTGGATGCCTTTTGGTTTCCCTTTAGCTATCAGCCAAAAGGCGTCTGAGAAATCCTCAAGGGGTCCAGAAGAGGGAAACTGGTTGCCCAGTTGTTCTCTTTGGAACCTCTTTGGATGAGCCAAGGGAGTTGTCTGTTTTTCCCAAGGGCTTGTTTCAGCAAGGCAGCTAGGGAGGGCGGGAACGTGTGCCGTGGCGGGGTGTTTCACAGGTCGATCCGGGATGAAACCACGTGAGCTTTGTCTTGCGGATCTGGCTATGAATGTCAATGGGACGCCCTCAAACTTGGATTTAGTCCCTATGGAACGATTCCCACCAAGGCTCGACACCGAGGCGCCCTGACGTGAGATCCATGTGGGTGTTTCTCAAAATAGGGGCACCCCCCAACCAAGATGTGTGGTTTCCCTCTTGGTTTTCCTTTGAAGCTGGCCAAACATGATACCCTCCAAAAAAGACAAGCCCACGTATGATGTGGGCATCTACCCCTTTTCTGAGTGTCCCATCCAGCCTCACGTCAGGTAAGCTGGTAACCAGAGCGTCGGAACTAACCAGCCACCATATTTTCCCCAGATAGCTGAAAGCTATGAGGGTTCTAACTTCTAAAAAGTTATTTGCGAGATTGACGGCTGCGTGCTAGGGGGCGTGCAGTTTGGCGTGCTGGCGCAGGTGCTGTTTGGGGGTGCTGTTTGGGGGTGCTGTTCGGGAGTGCTGTTCGGGGGTGCTGTTTGGGGTGCTTTCTGAGGTGCTGGTGACGGCGCGGGCGCATTTTGCAATGGGGCATGCAGGGGACGGCACGAGCTCGTTTTTGCGAGATTGGCTGCAGGGTGCTCCGGGGCATGCAGTTTGGGGTGCTGGTGCAGGTACTGTTTGGGGATGCAGTTTGGGCTGTTTGAGGTGCTGGCGACGGTGCGGGCGCATTTTTGGGAGATTGGCAGCTGGGGGCTGTGGGGCTGCTGTTTGGGGCGCTCTTCGGGTGGTTCTGTCAGAGGCGCTGGTGTGCAATCATCGGCCTGTTTTTCGCTATCTGGGTTCTATGCTGGTGTAATTTTCCACCTAAGTGGGTTGAACATCTGCTCAGTTCCCCCTACCTGGGTTGGTTGGTTGGTTGGTTGCTTGCTTGCTTGGTTGGTTGGTCAACTGTGGGTCGCACATCCAAGCAGAAAGTAGGCGATTCTTCCCCCCCGCCCCCGTTTGATGGACACTTAGGGTCTATTTTGCAACCTGCTTCATTTGGGGTATTGATTGTTAGGGTTCCAGGCTGCAAACTAATCTCTAAGTGTCCCTGGCACCCTAAGTAGGTGATTGGTTAGTTAGTTGGTTAGTTGGTTAGTTGGTCTGTTGGTTGGTTCATTGGTTCGTTAATTGCTTACTTAGTTGGTTGCTTGCTTGGGCCCCGCCCGGACCCCCCACCCCACCCCCGCAGCCCCCCAGAAAGACGGCGCTCCCCGCTCCCCCGCAGCCTTGCAGCTCCCCTCTCGCCCCCGAGGCTTCCTGGGCAGCGGCTCCCTGGCGACCCGAGACGCCACCGGCTCCACCGGGAACTACGGCATCCAGGCCGCGGGGAGTGGGCGGGTGTCTGCGGGGAGTGGGCGGGGAGTGGCGGTCCCCCCCGCCCACTTGGGGGAAAGTGGCGTCCAAAGAAAAACACGGGGGACGCGGCAAACAGCGGATGTTTGTTTTTCTTCTCCGTGGTGCCGTTTTTTTTTTGAGGGTCCCTTTAATCCATGCACTGAAAACACAATTTGGGTGAAAGTAGATTGCAAGATTCCGATTTGTCAGTTTGCTTGGGGCCACTTTCGGTGTTTCGGGCCAAAGACCTCCAACAGAAGCACAATCTGTGGCTTGACCATCCCACACACATTGCCACAGCAGAGCACGGGTGCCTTTGAACATCTACAAGAGGACTGCAGGCTGCCGACGCCCTTCGATCGGCTCCTCATGCCCAGCTGCCCAAAATAGACCAACCACATGCTGAACTATCTATCATAGGTGTCGTTTTTGGTTGTTTTGCTAGACAATAGATGGCGATTCCTGGCTGACCTTTCATAGTCTAACAGGTTGAAAACCCATCTACTCTCAACCAAAAGGACGATGCGATCTCCGTCAGTCTTTCTTAACCCTTTTTGGATGGTTTTGAAGGGCCGTTTTTTGGGGTCGCCCCATTTTGAGACACCCATCTGCAGGGGGGTCTTTTTGCCACCTTTTGTGGACAATTGATCGACGCCCGCCCATTTTCTACAAAAGGTAGCAAAAAGACCCCCCTGATTTAGAGAGTACTCGCCCGGATGTGTACGGGCCCTGAAATTCGGACCCTTAGGGGACCTGCAAAAGGAGACCAGGGAACCAAACTATTGTCAGGCCAAAACGACACCCCTACCCATCCTATGAGTCTCTTGTCAAGGACCAGCGCATGGCACTCCAATGGGTGCAAAACAACATCGCCGCCTTCGGGGGAGACCCGCAGAAGGCGAGCCAACGCGGTCGCACGGCCGACCGGGGGCGCTTTCCAGCGTTTCTTTATGGTCCGTTCTGCTTCCTGTTCGTTTACTGGTTGTTTTGTTTTGTTTGTTTATTCGCTTCTTTTTTACGGTGTGTGTGTGTGTGTGTGTTGTTCTGTGTTATGTTGTTGTTTTGCTTAATATGTTTTTTTTCTTGTTTGGTTTTATTTGCTTTGTTTTGATTTGTTTGTTTGCTTGTTTTCTTGCTTGCTCGTTTGCTTGTTTGCTTGCGTGCTTGTTGGTTTGTTCGGGTGGTTGGTTTGGTTGCCTTTTTCTTGTTTGGTTTGTTTTGCTTTGTTCATGGTGTTGCTCTTCTTTTCCTTTTTTTTTTTTTTTGGGGGGGGGGGGGGCTGGGGTGTGTTGTGTTGTTTTGCTTCGCTTTGCTTGCCTCGTCCTGTTTTGTTCCATTTTGTTGTTTGTTTGTTTGTTTGTTTGTTTGTTTGTTTGTTTGTTTGTTTTTGTTTGTTTTTTGTTTGTTTGTTTGCTTGCTTGCTTGCTTGCTTGCTTGGTTGGTTGGTTGGTTGGTTGGTTGGTTGGTTGGTTGGTTGGTTGGTTGGTTGGTTGATTTGAATGTTGGTTTGAATGTTTGTGTGTTTGCATGCTTGTGTGTGTGTGTGTGTATTTGTATGTTTGTTTTGGTTTATTGGTTTTGTTTGTTTCTTTGTTGGTTTGGTTTGTTTGTTGGTTTGGCTTGTTTGTTTTGTTTCTTTTGGTTGGTCGATTGTTGGTTGGTTGATTAATAAGTCCATTCTTTATCTTTCGGATGGCAGTGTTCCGGGCTACACCTTCAAGGGTCCGAGTTCCCTTTAAAGACAACCACCAAGAAAAGAGTGCTCTTTTTTTCCCATGGAAATCAGGGTCTAACCAGCTCTTGGCTTGACACACCTTCGCCTCGGCTTCTGCCCGCGGTGAGGTGATGATTTTCGGGCAGTCGGCAGGGGCTGGAAGCGCGGCCAGGCAGCAAATGGGTAGGCCTGTCCGGGGCTCATATGGGTGTTTCTTTTTCTGAGTTGACAAGCTCGTTTTGGGGTTCGTTGTGCATGGGAATCGAAGAAAATACGCCGTTTCCAGCTTTCAGCCTGACATAGACATGATATATTTAAGTGATGTAACTCTTGGCAGGGGCAGGGGATCAACTAATCCCTAAGGTTTGGGTCCTCTTATTTTGAGACAACCCCATGTGGGTGTTTCCAAAAAGGACCCGCTAAGGTCGTCACGAGGTTTTCGCTCGGAGTGTCGTTAGTTTAGGGTGCTCTTGTCGGTTGATTTGAAGGGAAAGCCAAAGGGAAAGCAGGCCGCCCGCTTCTTGACTGCTATTGGGTTGGATCTTTAGACTTTAACTTTTTGGGAAATAAGAGTGTTTTCCACTAAAACCCCAAAAAGTTAAACTTTTTGCAGGGGGATCAACGGCAACCAAGACTTTGGGGAGTTCATATTGGGAGTTGACGTGAGATGACTGGCAAAACTTGGCTCATTTGCCGAAGGGCTCGGACAGAACCCAGCGTTCCAATTCAGGAGCCCTGCTTGGGAGTGTGCTTCCTTGTCACGTGGATGGACAAGCACAAGTTGGAATGGATGAAACCAAAGGGATACACCTACCAACTGGCGCGATTTGTGTGTGCAAACACTGTGGTGATACCCTTGGAATCGGTCTTCCCACAAGTCCAACAAGCTTATTCGTTGGCGGTTCCTTGTGTTGAGACACACCCACATGAGTCTTGTTCAGAAAGGGGCTCTTTTCCGTTGACACTAAAGACCCCATCCATGTTTTCAGTTTCATCTGTGTGGAGACAAACCAACCCAAAAACCAAAGCAGTGCCTCGCTTCTTTTGTTTGCTGGCGGGGGGGAATTGACCTACCAAAGGCCAGGCCCCAGTTCAGATAAAATCCCCTCAACCGACCAATTCACATAATATTTTTTCATCATTTCATAACAGAACCTCAACTCAAGATTTGATACATAAATTTTACAAATATTTTTCTAAATTTTCAAAAATATATTTTTCCAAAATCCCAAATTCCCAAAATATATTTTTCCAAAATCCTAAAATATAAAATCCCCTCAACCGACCAATTCACATAATATGTTTTCATCATTTCATAACAGAACCTCAACTCAAGATTTGATACATAAATTTTGTAAATATTTTTCTAAAATCCCAAAATATAATTTCCCAAAATCCCAAATTCCCAAAATATATTTTCCCAAAATCCCAAATTCCCAAAATATATTTTTCCAAAATCCCAAATTCCCAAAATATATTTTCCCAAAATCCCAAATCCCAAAATCCCCATAAATCCAAATCATAAATCTTACAATGTTTTTATTGTAAGGTTTATGGTGTAATTTATAATTTAAGTTCAGGATAATAATTTAATTGACAAATCTCATTTATTTCATACATCATTTTAAAAATAATATTAATATCTCTCACTGTATTTTTAACATTAAACTTTTTATAAATTTCAATATAATATTTGATATATTCTTTAATATCATCTCCTTTCTTTTGACTATGACACAACATCCTTAATATATCATAAATCATTTCATATTTGTTCTTACTGATTTTAAGAAACTGTTTAACATAAACGTAAGGTGGTAATTTATACACAGTTAAAAATATCAAAATGTCATCTTCAACATTTCTATTATGTCTTCCTTTTAATCTCAACAAACATTTGATTATAGCTTGGTTATCTCTCCAGGTTTTACAATTTTCACATAAATCTTCTTCATCCATTGAATAATCAATAATATTATTTATTATTCCATTAGGTAAATTTAATTTATACAATTCCATATTTTCCTTTTTAAAGTGGCAACAGTCGTAGCATTTCTTATTAATATACTTATTGATTTCAATACCGTTCATTTCTTCACTATTAATATAAGGTGTTTTTTCTTTAGGACTATTTCGCCTAAAACTAAATTATTAATTTAATTCTTTCTATTATTTTGTCACATGTTGTTTCATTATAAAAATTATTTTTTATTTGTTTTCTAAACATTCCCATTATTCCAATCGCACGTTTTATTGTATATCTAAGTTCGTGAGTTTTATACTCATTATTTAAAAACTCATTTAAAAAATCAAACAATACAACGTATTTTAAACGTTTAATATTAAAAGACATATTGTATAATTGTTTTACAATACTATAATACTTAAAAATAAAATCATTATTATATCCTTCGTCGTTACATTCTAATAAATTATCAAATCCTTCTATAGTTAAGAAATTATTCATTTCAATAAATACAAATATTTCTAAATCATCATCAATAGTTTCATTATTTATAATATCAATATCCTTGTTATTCATATCATCAATTGCTTTTATAATTCTATTGCAATTATTGCATATTATATATTGACAAATATTATTACAAACACCATTTGCAAAACCCCGTTCAATTGGTAATTTGAGCATTTCACAGTCATCACATTTATAACTCATAAATTTGTCTTTCAATATATTTTTAGCATTGATACCGACTGTATCACTCATTTTACTATAATATATTAAGTTATTATTTCTTCAAGTCATTTTGAAATCATAAATCTTACAATGTTTTTTTATTGTAAGGTTTATGGATTAAAATAATGGTCAGGCAATATGTCTTCAAATATGTAATCTACATATTTATCTATATCACCAATGTATATATATTTGATATTGTTTTTTCCTATTATTGAATAAATATATTCCCAAAAGAATAAATACAACAATAGACATACTTTATATTTAGTGTTGTAGTAATACCATATACTATATTTAGTTGCTCTAAATTCGTTCAAGACTTCGTTTATTTTATCTTTGTCTAATAAATGCCAGTCAATCCATTCAAACAAATAACGGTATTTTTTGACAAATGCTTTGTATGGTTTAATTGCGTTTATTCCTCCAAACCTCCTAATTAAATCTATATTACTAAAGAATTCATCAATTTCATTTTCATATGACTTTCTGGAAATCTTCTGGTAAAAGTGTATAGGAAATCTTGCTTGGTGTCGCATAAAGAATTTTAACTGTAATTGAAACTTTGTATATCCCTTGTCCTTATGTTCTTCAAGAAAAAACTTTTCAAGGTCTCTTGTTATACAGCATTGATTGCAGTATACATTATATTCACTTATTTTATTACATAGATTAGCAGGTAATAACTTATACAATGTTATATTAACATCATTCCTTTTAGTTGTACAACATTCGCAATTTGAATAATTAAATAACATTTCACTAATAATATAAGGCGTTTTTTCTTTAACTGTATTTCGTTTAATATTAAACTTTCAATAATTCGTGTCTCAAATAAGGACTAGTTTTTCCTTCCAAATGAAAGTAAGATTGCCCTAATTTACTATCAATTGATTTTACTTTAAATACTTCTTTTAACCAATGACTGGTATGTGCCTTTTCGCTTATGCCTTTCTTTCTCATTATTTTTACATTACTACCCACTGACAACTCAGGGTATTTTCTAGTATTTCTTGCTTGCATTGTAATATTCATTTTTACTTCGAATTCATTCTTTTTCATTCTTGCGTCCTTCGGTGTAAATTTAGTTGCGGAATGAATATTCTTATTATTGTAAGTTAATAATATTTCAAAAATATAATCCGTCCATTGGATATTCTGCTTTCCATTTTTCTTGTCCGCTTCAACTCGTTTAAACAGTTGATCTTTAAAAGTCTGAATTCCACGCTCCGCAAATGCTGGATGACCTCTAGTTCTATGTAATTCAATTTTCTCCTCCTTCAAATAATCTAATACTGATTGATTAAAAAAACTGCCTTCCTCGTCGGTATAAATTAATTTACACTTCCCGCCCATTTTATTTAGGTTCTCCATCAACCCTGCTAAAATGTCTGGCGGTGTCTTGGATTTAATTGGCACGATATGCATATATTTGCTAAATATATCAATGCATATCATACCAATTTTAAATGTTTGATTTTCCAAATCATTTTTAGAAATGAAAAACAGATCAACTTGAAATTCCCAGAACGCGTGTGGTGCAATAAAGCTATTTTCACCTCTCATCTTTCTTTTTTCTTCTACATTCTTACTAAAGAATTCATTAATATCGTTTATTGTAATACTACTATCTTTTTGCTTAGCATCCTTGAGGGTTGTTTGTTTTGAACCATAACCGCTTCTATCATAATATACACTCTTGATAATTTCTTGTGTTGAACTCATTAATTAAGTTAATAAAATAATTTTGAAAAATTCATTTTCAAAATTATTCATGACGCGCTGCAATTGCAATAGACACAAAAGGCGGTGCAGTTTTCAACTGTGTGGCATAACTCATTATCACAACGTTGAGCAGTGAAGTTAGAACTTATCTTTCCTCCTCTTGTATCTAGATTAAATTTAATTCCGCAGTTTTGGCAACAGGATTTGAAGTATTTTAAGCACCAGTTTTCGTCAATGTATTGCTCTTCGTCTATTTCTCTTTTTGCTACTCTATCTTGCTGTTTATATCCTTCAACTTTGTTTTTAAAATAGTTGATTACCAAACTCTTAAACATATCTTCATCTCCCTCTTTGTTCTTGTAAAAATAGACATTGTTAAAATCCCTCGCTCGTGTGATACTCGTCCACAACCATTCCCTACAAACTAAATAATCTTTGTTCCATTCGTGAATGGTCATATTATCACTGATTGATGTCCCCTGTCTGCTATGAGTGGTAGCACAGTAGGCATATCTAAAATGCTTATCTACAATATCAATGTCAAGTGTTCTAATGTTCTCTGCATCCTTGATATCTTGTATTGTTATCTTGTATCCTTCGTTATTAACAACCTTCCACCTAATATTAACATTCAGTTTTCCTTCCTTGTCCTTTTTGTAAAGTCTGCATATTAAGATTTCTCCAATTTCATATTTGCATGTTTTACCTAATCTTTTTCTAATCTCATTGGATACTGCCTCA